CCACCAGCCACTTCATGAGAGAAAGATGAGATAGTGTATTTCTGTAAAGTTTTACAGCCTTGGAAATCTATGGGGCAGTTCTACTCTGTAGGATCACTATGAGTTTGGAATCAACTTGATGGCAGTAGGTTTGGGTTTTGCATGTAAAAATAGTGACTTCTGCAGTCACCATACCTCAAAATATTACTAATTTAAAAAGGATTGAAGGCTAGAATCAAAAAGCAAAACTTAAAAAAAAAATTTATAGGAGAATGTCGTTAAAACCTTGAGGATGAAAATAATTTCTTTAATAGAATACCCAGCAATTCCATTCTTAAGCATATATACATAACCTTTTATCCAGTAAGTTGACACGTGTACTAGGGAGCTGCATGCTAGTATGTTTGTTGCAGAATGAATTACAGTAGCCAGAAATTGGAAACAAATGTGTCACTTGTGAAATTGATGAATAAAGTGTGATAGTCATGTAGTAGAATAATCTCTAACATTTAAGTATAATAAATTTAACAGAGAAAGATCTGAAAAATGTGCAAAAGAAAATGAGTTATATAATAAAAGTTATATCAATTTGAATAAGATTTTTACTAACCAACACTTAGTACTAAGCATTGCTTATGGATAAACATTTTTATGTAAAAGTATTGTAAGGATACACACACAAAATTCCCAAGGTGGTTGGCTCTGGAAAGAAAGGTAGAAGATTCATGGGATGATGTGTGGTAGTGAAAAGATACTTTTGATTTTGTCTGTTTGTTATTAAAATGAAATAAAAGATTTGAGGTAAATATATAAAAATTTTAATTCATTCTCCTTGTTACATGTGTTTGTTTTGTTGGTGCTGTTTCTTAAATTTGTGAAAATTAGGCAGAGATAAGGGTGGGGAAACTGTATATCCTACATCATATAATGGACTCACAGTCCAAGTCAGATACTAGTATTTTTATGAGAAATATTTATAAAATCATGTTTTTACTGTAAAATATGAAATATTTATTCATTTTCAAAATTGAGGTAGCAGCTTAACAAATCCAGTTATTAGCATTGAATCTTGCATGTTGCATAAATAATCTGTGCTTAACTCTACTCAGAAGTTGTAGCTTGGTTTTGCCACAGTTTGGTGGTTTCACATACCTTTAAGGATGATATCATTAAATAATTTATGTAGAAACACTTGGAAAGAATTTTGTACTGAAACTTAAGAAATTTTCACCTTCCACATAACCAATATTGGCATTGGGGATTGGGTTATTTTTTTATCTTCTAATTATTTTTTTGGGTGAAAGTTAACAAAGCAATTGGTTTTCCAAATTTGACACATACTGTTTTGTGACACTGGCAGTCCCCATAGTGGAATAACACTCTTCCCACTTCCTTGCTGAATTCTCCATATCCATTCATCCTACTTTCTTGCCCCTTCCTGTCTTCTAATCTTTATTTTTGGGCAAATACTGCCCTTTTGGTCTCATACGGTTGATTATTCTCATTACTCCCTGGTATTACTGTTCACTTTATAGACTTATCTGTTGTTTGACTGAAAGTTAATTCCTGGGGGTGAGTTCAGTTCTGGGCTTGAAGGGTGTCTAATGGCCACTGTCTTTGGGAGTTCCACCAGTCTCTATCAGATTGGTAAGTCTGGTCTTTTTTATGATTTTGAATTTCGTTCTCCAGTTCTTTTTCTTCCATTCTGTCCAGGAATTTCTGTTGTGATCTCAGTCATAGTGGTTGGTACTGGAATTGGTGACCCTCTAGTTCTTCTGGCCTCAGGCTAATAGTGCCTAGCATAGGAATTATATATTTATTATTTTTATCATTTTTGCAGTGTTACCTCCCCCCATAACCAACAAAGAAAGTTTCCTTCAATATATAAACCTTTCCTTGACTTCCTACTGTAATGCACTAATAAAATACTTGTCCTTCTGCGATTAACTTTTTACTTAGCATAATGTCCTCCAAGTTCATCCATATTATGTGATGTTTTGCAGATTTTACATTATTCTTTAGTGTTGCATAGTATTCCATTGTGTGTATGTACCAGTTCAGTTATCCATTCTTCTACTGATAGGCACCTAGGTTGTTTCCATCTTTCTGCTGTTGTAAATAGTGCTGCAATGAACATGGCTGTGCATATATCTGTTCTTTTCCTGGCTCTCACTTTTTTAGGATGTATACCTAGTAATGGGATTGCTGTATCAAATGGTATTTCTAATTCCAACTTTTTAAGGAATCACCATACTGTTTTCCACAGTGGTTGTATAATTTTACAGTCCTATCAGCAGTGTAGAGTCTCAGTCTGTCCACATCCTTGCCAGCATTTGTTATTTTCTGTCTTGTTGAACTTTGCTGTAGGTGCTGGGGCCAGATGGTATCTCATTGTTGTTTTGATTTGTATCTCTAATGGCTAATGATCGTGAACATTTCTTCATGTGTTTGTCAGCCTCCTGAATATCCTCTTTGGTGAAGTGTCTGTTTATGTCTTCTGCCCATTTTTGAATTGGATTGTTTGTCTTTTTGTTGTTGAGGTGTTGGAGTTTTCTATAAATTTTAGAGATAAGTTCCTTGTCACATATGTCATTGCTGAAATATTTTTTCCCAATCTGTAGGTTTTATTTTTAGTCTTTTGGAGAAGTTTTTGAAGCACATAAAAATTAAGTTTTAGAAGGTCCCATTGATCTACTTTATCTTCTGCTGTATGTGCATTTTGGGTTATGCTTGACAGTCTTATTTGTGCCATAAATTAGAATCCCTAAATTTGTCCCCATTGTTTCCTTGAGGAACTTTATAGTTTTAAGTTTCACATTAAATCTTTGATCCATCTGGAGTTAGATTTTGTAGATGGTGTGAGGTGCAGATCTTGTTTCATTTTTCTGCAGATGGATATCCAGTTTTGTCAGCACCATTTTTTAAACAGACATTCTCTTCCCCATTTCACCATAGGTCATTGGATCTATTTCTGGGTTCTCAATTCTATTCCACCAGTCTTCATGTCTGTCATTGTACCAATACCAGGCTGTTTTGACTACTGTGGCTATATAGTAGCTTTTGAGATCTGAGAGTGTGAGATCTCTTACTTTGTTTTTCTTCAATAGTGCTTTGCTTATCTGTCTCTTTCTTTTCCCTATATAATTAGTGATTGGTTTTTCCAGGTCTTTAAAGAATGTTTATGGGATCCGGATTGGGATTGCATTGAATAGATTGCTTTGGATAGTGTGGTAGTTCATTTTGTGTGTCAGCTTGGCTGGGCCTGGTTGAGTGGCTGAGCAGCTGGATGTAGTATTCCCCAGGATGAGAAGACTGGTAATCAACTCCATGGTGGCATCTACTGGGAACAGCTGAGTAGCTAGCTGCCTTAGGGAATGTGGTCTGCTTCCTGTATATAAGCAGAAACCTTGGGGAATGGTCTCTAGCTTATGGCACATTTGGGCCCTATGTATCACCTTGTCATTCAGCAACCTGCCTTGCTCTGCGGACTTAATGGCCTGCTTGGTTTGGTAACATTGGGACTGTGCCTTTTCATTTGTCAACCTTGGGCTTCTCAGCCTTAGCAGCCAGCAGTTGAGTGAAGAAACACCTCTAGCTCCAATGGGCTGGGAGCAGGAGACAGAGCTGGACCCCTAGGTTGAGGGGTTTTCACCCAGCCCCTAGAGCCTGGCACTTTGAACTTGGACTTAAAGCCTCCAACTGTAAGAATAAATTCCTGTTTGTGAAGGCCATCCCATTTGTCGTATATTCTTGTCAGAGTGGCACTAGGTAACCAGAACATATAGTAAATTAGGTTTTAAGTGAAGAAATTACATTAGTTTGGACATTTTCATGTGTCGCTGAGTGAAACACCAACTCTTGGATTTCAGCTTCAGTTTTAACCTGTGGACTAAATTTTTCTCTCTATTCTGCCAGTCATAATTCTTTTTTTTTTGTTTGTTTCTTTCAGAAAATGGTATTGAAAAGGAAGGTTTTAGACCCTAAATAGTGTTCTCCTCCTTGAAGCAAATCTTGGGGAGAATTTGCTTACTTGATTCCTTTCCACAATATAAAATAAAATGTGTTGTTGTTGATAGGTGCCATTGAGTTGACTCTGACTCGGCAGCCCCATATACAACAGAACAAAACACAGCCTGGTCCTCTGCTGTCCACACAGTTGGGCTACTATGTCATTCCATCTCACTTGAGGGTCTTCTCTCTTGCTGACCTTCCACTTTACCAAGTATGATATCCTTCTACATGGAACCTGGTGCCTTCTGACAACTTGACCAAAGTATGTAAATCTGGCCATTATCTTCTTGAAGGAGTATTCCAGCTGTAGTTCCAAGA